CTTTTTAAAAAATAAAAATAAAAATAAAATAAGACATCCAGAAAACCAATTCAAATAAGAGACCTGAAATTTAGTATCATGTACTATGGATTAAATAAGAACAATAATTGTTGCTATTTCTTCTCCCTCCCCTCTTTTCTACTCAAAACTACAAAACCTGCTTAGATGAAACCCTATTTTTCATAATTTATTTTTTACTGTATGCACAGTACACAGTTCATGCTCTTCTGATCAGTTTTACATAAAATCTAAATCTAGAAACTAATTATGTCCTCAATGATTAGGCACTTATTTTTGTAGGAGTAAAGGCCACTGAGAACACCTGAGGATTTCATTAGAAAGATAAATAAGAGATACCAGGTACATACAATTTTTAAATTTATTAACTTTCGTAAGGTTTGGAGAGAGATCTGCTAAACCTTTCAAAGTCACAGGCCTCTTATATAAAAGCCTCATACTTTGCCACTGAATCAGAGCAAGTTCTGAGGAATTAGGATACAAAAGACAAATGAGTGTTCCACAGATCCAGTATTATCACTAATATACCTCATGGATGCAATTCCAAGACCCACAACAAAACAAACAAACAATATATATAGGGTACACTCTTGTCATTTAGCTATTCTCTGTGTTAGTTTTGGATTATTTAATATACTGAGTTTGCAATCAAGTGTAGGGCAAGATACATATATGATAAAAAATTAAGGAAAGAAGTAAGATCCCCCTTTCACAATGTCAAAGTCTAAGCATGTATGTCATACTTCTATCTGTAACGATCTCGTAATGCTGTTTAAAAACATGACACAGATATTCCTGCAAACTTGTTTTGGCTGATCAGTTCAGACAAGGAAAACTGTCAGTTTAAACAAAGGGAGAAGAAGGCAGAAGACAGAGCACAAGCACCTTCCCTCCAAAGCCAAAGAAAAGAGAAGAGCCAGATGTACCAAATACACTGATCAGAGCTAATATTCCTTCAGGGGAAGACGTGTACCGGTTTGCGATACATAGACATTTCTACCTGTATTCCTCGAAGGCCAAGGAATAGTGAACTGGCACAAGTATGCCAGTAAAAGTTGGCACAGCTGTGCCGCAATTGAAATCAGACATAAAAAGGAAAATAGGGTTCAACCACGACCAGAATTTTTTATGAAGCTGACAATTTTCAATATCCAAAGTGTTTGCAATATTTTAAGGTGTCATTAGACACTGCAAGACAGCAGTACGACAGACGACTGACTCCCGTTACAACCGTGCAGGCACCAGAAAAGCAGTTTTTTGATTACGTGCCTAAGGCCTGGATTTTTCAGGCAGCACTTAGAGGTTCAGAAGGGCAGCAGCTGCCATCCTTGTGCTGCTCCATTCGTGTCTGGTCACCGCCAAGGCTCTTCTAGGAAGGACTCTTGACTCTTTCATCTGTGAAAGCAGCTGGAAGAACACCCAAGCTCTCTTGCTGCCTTACCCCTCCTTGGCAGGAGCACTTACATGAAAAACTTCAACATTTCTCTCCAGCTTCCATCATCCCAGCAAAACCCGTAAGGTAATCTCATACCCAGCATGACGGTTGCTAGAGCTAATTTGTCACACAAGGACAAATTCTTTGTCCCTTTCCACAGTTATGAAACACATGCTTTGTGCTACACAAAAAGCGACGTGGCAGTGTCACAATCCTAAATGAAGAGGAAGCTATAGTTTCAACATTTGTCATCTGTAATAAATGTAGCAGCCCATCAAGCTGTAATAATTACATAGCACAACGTAAAGGAAATCACCCTGCCTAAGAAAGTTAAGAGGTTAAACACCAGAAAGTTTCAAAATGACAGTTTTCCTGGCTTTCCACTAGGGAGGGGACAAGTACAACAGCACAGCTGTAATGACTTAAAAACTACCTGCAATTCACAAACGTGATTCTCATTCTCAGTGACTCGCTGGTCCTCACTTCGGAATGAATTACTGCAAAGACATGTTTTACACACATCAGCTTTAAGGCTGCACACACGCCTGCCTCTAAGAGACAGGACTCCTCTCGAACCACTGCTGATGAGCCCAGCTCCTGACAGGAGGGGGAGACCAGCCCCGTGCCAAAAATCAGATCACACCACACTTCGCTGTAACAAAAGATGACCCCAGGGAGTTTGTGCTCATCATCGTTATTCCACGCACGTAAGAGCCACCTCCAACGGCTTTTACTTCAATTAAACCTTTACTACTGAAAAGGGCAGAGGGAGTGTAAACACATTTATACTGCGCTGATCGTGGAAGGGGTAATGAAAGATAAAGGGAATGGAGTATCTCTCAATCTCTATTTAGAGACAACCCCCCCCCAACAATGTCTCAAGATAACCACACAAACCTGGTGGGCGAGAACACCCTGTGACCATCCTCTCCCACCACCCCACCCCACCCCTTTTTTTTTTTCCAGCTGAGCACTTGCCTCTCCTCCGTGCCCATCAAATATCCCGAAGATGGAGGGGTGAGTCTTGTTCACCAGGTCAGTGATTACTTCGAACCTGTCCTCCATGTGAGCCCTCCGGCCTTGGATGGAGTAGACAGCCACATTGTGGCTCTTGAACTCCCAGGTCTTGGAGAACTCTGCGTCCAGCACGTCTAGCCCCCCGAGCCTGTCATTCTGCATGATCTCGGCCACCTTGCCCTTCACCATCTTCACCGCATCCCTGCTGGACTTAACAATGGTTTTCACCTCATCCGTGTGGAAGAAATAACTCCACAGAGCCAGGCTGATGCACAGCAAGAACAGGGTCTCCGGTCTAAGCAAGAAGTAACGCATGATCCGACCCAGCAGAGACAGCAAAGTCATTGTATCCTCTATCATTTATTATCGAGACCGTGTATCCCCACACCATGCAACG